GCGACATATCTTTGCATCTGTAAATTTTACCACAAGTATCTCGATGTTACTACGTCTTGTTGCACTTTAACTAGTCTTTTTTTTTTTTTTTCAATTTATTATTTGTAGAAAATATACACTTTATTTGTGGAGGTGTGAGAAGTGAGAAACTTCATTAAGTTTAAGTTAAAATGTATTCTAACAAGGGAGTGCTCGTTATGCTTTACTGTCAAAAATAATGGTGGTTTGCAATCCCAAACAAACACTTGTGGTTATAAAGTGTCATTTCTTTTACTTGTAAGTTGTAAGAAGTTTTAATAAAAGGGACTTTTTCTTCATGACTGCTTACACACTCACTGTACCTTTGGCCTTTTGCCCTTCGAACATATCTAGAATTTTGGAGCTGTTGCAACAGGAAGGACATAACTGCACAAAGCGAGTTTTGCATATATTGCATTTTTGCAGGTGTCAGCATAGCACAGCTACTTGGATGTAATTGCAGAGAAATTGTGAAAAATGCAAAAATGGCTCGTCTGAGGTGTTAAGGATGCTCCGGCTGCTTTAATTGTGAATTTCAGTTAATCTGCATTCTTGGCGCTGCCGCCTCTAATCTTCTTGTTAACAATACTCCACAGATTCTCTGTTGTCAGGCCAATTTGACGGCCAATCAGACACAGCGACACCAGATTCATTAAAGCAGGTATTGGTACTTTTGGCAGTGTGGGCAGGTGCCAAGTCCTGCTGGAAAATGAAATCAGCATCTTCATAAAACTTGTCAGCAGAAGGAAATATGAAGCCCTATAAAATCCCTGGTGGATGGCTGATCTTGCCTCGGACTTGATAAAAGACAGTAGATCACCACCAGCAGATGACATGGCTGGTGAAAGTTCCATGCTGAATCTCAAATAACTTGGATTTTGTTTCTCCACATTTCCTTCCGACTCTGGTTATAGCTAGCTATAGCTAGCTATAGATACATCTTTGTGTGGCGGCTCTTGAATAACTGCAGTCCACCCAGATCTCTCAAGGCCACATTTATCTGTTGCTTTTGCATCTGCTACATCACACACCTTTCTTGCAATCAACAATACATGCTGGTTTGCAGCACTTTGTGAACTCGCAGCTTCTGTAAGATGGAGTTTTTGTTGCTCAACATCCTTGTGAATGGTGTTCATGAATGTCTGCTGAACAGCAGTTCTCACAATAACCGTGAAGGCCATGTTATGAGATATCTGTGTTAAAAATGATTTTTTATGTCTAATTCTAATGATTCAAAGACCTGAATTTGGGTAATTTTTAGTGATAAGCAACAGCCATCAAAATTAACAGACAAACACATGAATTGTGTCACTCTGAATGCACAGAGCTTCTTTTTAAATGGCTAAACGTAGATGTTGTGACATTAAAAAATAAGTCATTGAAAAAATATGTGCAATAAGTATATTGTATATATAGTCATAAATATAGATTTCAGGGGAAAAACCTTTCAAAATAAAGAAAACTTCTTGGAAGACAAGGGTTTGGCAGCAAGTCGGAATGGTGATGAAAAGTTACGTTTCTTTGGCCGTTTTTCAGTAGATCATCATGTCTTCTTCCGTGGAGGACTAGATCAGTGTGTGGGTGTGTGAGCACGTGCATGTGTGCGTGTGTATGCGTGTCTTGGGGAAAGGGGGAAGGGACAGGCTGATGAACTTCACTTTCTATTAGGAACAGACAGGGCCTCGATGGCTCGGTCGCCAATCAATAGGCTGAAGGACAAGGGTGTCAGAAAAATGAGTAGGCCTTCCCTCTGCCTGGCTGGGAAAGGATGGAAAATGAGAGAAATGGAGAGAGACCTCTAGACTGAGATAAATTTAGAAAAGAGCAGCAGAAAATGGGTAGCATATGTGAACGTGTGATTTACGTAGTATTTTAGTTAAAAACGGCCTCAGTGTCTTCCACGATAGTGGGTTAGCCACATTAGCTGACGGTTTTACCTATTGGCAGTTTTCTTCTTCATCTCTTTCTGTCACAGTTGGACCAAAATGCAGACAGGAACTTGGGAGGACAGTGGTGGGGAGGATTTGATGAAAAAGTTTTATATAAATTATAGAAAACAGAAATAAAAATGACACAAAGCCAGGGTGAGCGCAGCAGTAGCTAAAAGCTAATGATTCATAAAAACACAAACCAATAACTCAAGAAAGAATTAAGAAATTCATCACAAAGGAATTAACTAATATGATGGTGACTTAACTTCAATATTATCTAAATACAAAGACAAGAGAGAATCAAAACACTAACAGCCCAAAAAGCAATTTCAGGGTCAATTACCCTCTATAGAGCAGCTCTGTCTGCTCAGGTAATTCTGGCGAATTAAAAGAAAGATATCAACATCTCTGATATCCATGATGTTGATACATTTCCTTTGACTAGCTATAGAGTAACTGAAATGATCAAAGCTAAATATT